GATGCACGCCAATTATGAGTCTACATAATTGCTAAGTGAAGCAAACCAATTAAGACGTATTAACAGTACCGGTCAACTTGATTAGAAGTAAAGTACCAATTACCATGCCTCAATTAATAGAGCGTAAGCAATTTAACTAATATACGAAAAAGTTCATTAAAAACATCCGACCCTGCCAATGTTCGAACCCTCTTATTTTGTCGCGTTTCTCCTTTACTGTCTCTACGCTACAGATCTTTGATATCTGGAATTTAAACGTTATTTGTAATCTGATAATTTGTGTTAATATCCTTAGCAATGGTTCTACTTAATAGGTGGTTATCGACCCAAATGAACATTTTAATTTGTCGCAACAACATTTGCAACAACAGGTTGGAAAAAAGAGACTTCATTTTTACACAAGCAAAGAGAGCTTTGCTTGTGTAAAAAATGATAAAATGATCCGGCAAACAATTGATTAAGACGCAAATGAATTTTTTGAATGTTGATCTATGTAATCGAAATCAAAAGGCAATTTGACATAAATAGATCTACAACTCTACGCCCACTGTGGTTTTCTACTGATATCGAAAAAAAAATCGGGGCAAAATTCATGCTAAACCATGTTTTCTTGGAAACTAGTCTAAATAGAAGATCTGAGAGTATCAAGGTGTTGCACAAGTTGTACGCCAGTTTTTTTTTTCAGTTTGGCGATTTCTGCCAAACGAAATAATTAAATAAATTGCATTGTTTTTAAAGAAATAACATCACTTGTGAATACATCAACTTACCTTTTCGAGTTCCGATGAGACGAGTTAGAGTAAGGAGAATTAGAGTAATGAACACATGAAGATTCACACTTGTGACTAGATTTACTTTTATGTCTCTGCGAAGATTCAAAAATAGGGGGGGGGGGGGGTGGAAGCAGTTATCCTTCCTTACCTCTACGCTACAGATCCATCATACTTTGAAGCTAAAGTGCTATTTGTAATTTAATCATTACGACGCCAAACTGTGCATTCTGCGAATTATAACCATTTTCCGCAACAGGCAAAAGTTAGATTTGTCGCAGAATCCGCAACATTGCTATTTTTCTTTGATCTTCTCTGCTGTTTTGGATTCTACGGATAAACATCTAAGACACTGTGTTTCTCAAACTTGCTCCAAAAACAGGCAAATTTGCGGAATCCGAAACAGTTGTGTGGAAACGGGAACCAGTTTGAAAAACCCATGAGCAAATGATATTATATGTGTTCAGTAAACTTAAGCTGACGCGGAATCCGCAACTGTAAGTGGAATCCGCAAAATGTAAGCAGATTCCGCAAATTGTGAGTGGAATTCGCAAATTGGAAGTGGAATCAGCATAACTTTGCGAAATTCACTTATTTTTGCGGAATTTGCTTGTCGTTGGGGAAGTCGGAAGAACTAGTGAAACTTGCTCGTTACGGAATCCGCAACAAAATCAATGTGTCGAAAAAATTAAGTTAGATCTATCTGTACGCAGAATCCACTACAAATCTGTAAGTGGAGTCCCTTCAGATTTCGGAACAAATTTAAGGACTTGTCTCTTGAATCCGGGAACATACAGACACAAAATTTTGCGCCTATTCAATGCACAGTTTGGCCTCGTATTGATATTTTAAGTTAATATCCTTCCCGTGCCAAGCAATTTTTTTAAATTCAGATCTGAAATAACCTTTTTCATATTTACATTTCAGATCTAGAATGGGTGCGAAATAAATAAGTAATGCTTATTTTCTTTAAGGATGGGGCTATTTCAGATCTAATTTCAGATCTGAAATTTAGTTTTTCTTGTTTATTTCAGATCTGAAAAAAACTCTTTCAGATTTGATTTCACATATTAGTTTTTGTGTTTCTTGGTTATTTCAGATCTGAAAATAGCTATTTTAGATCTAAATTTAGATCTGAAATTTTTAGTTTTCTTGGATATTTCAGTTCTGAAAAAATCAATGATTTTTAACACAATTTTTGATTTTTTTGAGACTGTTGTTTCTGACAGCTTCTGCTAGCTACTACCATGTACTCAGCCAAGTGTTCAATGGAAGATTGCCAAAATAAGTTTCCCCAAGCTTAGGAAACATAGGAAACACATAAATAGCGCGTTAAAATCAAAAGTTTGATGTGTTTTAAGTTTTGAGAACATTTTATCACAGTTGAGCAAGAAAATTAGTTCAAAAAAACAGTTTGGGAAATTATTCTGAAGTTTTTTTTGAACCACTAGTTAATCTAAATGATTGTGTATTGCAGAAATATCAAAGATAAAAATCAATTGTTTGCTCGAAATACATAAATTATAATTTATTAAAAGGTTTCTCAGATCTAACTTCCTATCTAAATTTTTTTTCATGCAAATTTCAGATTTGAAACTTTCTATTTCAGATCTGAAGTTTTCAAATTCTTCTTCAGATATGAAAAAGAGTTTCAAATCTGAAAATGATTTAATGTATGAAATGAAGAATTTCAGATCTTGCACAGAAAATTCCCTGGGTGCGGGTTTAGCATTGGCTGTACTTATTAGCTGGATCAAATTAAACACTTTCAAATTAACAGTTTTTGTCGCAACAATTGCATTGCAACAATTTTGCGACTTAGGTAGAAAAAAAAGAGAGCTACTATATTAATACAAGCTACGCATGTGTAATGACAATGTTTTTAGTTTTTATCAACCCCATTTGAGAAACTTTTGGATCGAAATGTTTTTTTTTCCACACTAGAGAAACCAATTTAAAGACTAGAAATCATGTGAGTTTTTTGTGATCATAAAATTTTTTTTATTCACTAGTGAGTTTGTTTTCCTTTTAGCAATGGAAATGAAATGAGTTTTAAGACAATTTCTAGGTTTTAGGTCGAACTGCAATAAATTTAAATTGATTATGAATAAACTTTAATACAGATTGCTTGAAAACAAAAAAAAATCATATCAACCTATATGAGAGTCTGAACTACGTTCATCGACTGCAACCAGACAAAACAAACAAAATCGACAATTTACCGGAGGTTTCTTTTAGTTGTTTCTTGTAGTAGCTTCTTCAAATTATTCTAATTGCAATTAAAATATGTAGATCAAAACATAAATCTGAAAGTTAAAATTTTGTCATAAAAGTTGACATTTGATTCCACTGAATTTATCTTTTGAGATTTTTTCTCTTGTTTTTGCAACTGCCACAACAAGATTTTCCTGCCCAGAATTTTGGGTAATTTGGAATCAATACCTCGGTTTGGTTTGGGGTTTCAGAATTCCGGAAATTTTGTTTATTGCTTTTCGAGAATATTGACGAATTTGGAATATTTTCTAACATATATCAAAGAGGATTGAACAGGCTTTGTCTTTTGGAGCTAGGCGGCTTCCTTTTAACCGGGGAAATTTCCCAAACCTTCGTTATAAAACTGTTCAGAGAATTGACATTTCTTTCAAATAAAATAAGTTAGGTGAATGTTTTAACCAACACCAACTGTTCTTCTTAAATTCACTTGGAAAATGAAATCCAGAGTAAAATACACTCAGGTTAGTTTTTCACCTTAATTTTGCATAATGACGCGCCTTGACGTATCTAGATGCATCGAACTTTTAACCAATCATAAACTTGTACTCTGCGGCATAATTATGCAATAGATACCTGCATCGAATGGTAGCCCTATTAGAGTCCGTCGTTTTGCGGCATTATTATAAAATTTGTTCTCGGGAATTTGAGAACCGTAAAATATGTAGTCGGAAAAAATCAGGCTCAAACATGTCCCTTTCCCCGCATCAAATTATAATTTTTGAAAAAAGGTAAAATGTATGGGTTTACTAGGGGCGGGATATGGAAGTTCCATACTACTGCGTTTTATAGAGCTGCTTTTTGTAGTCTTCTCGCTAGTGTTTGCGAAGTGAATTTTGGCCTTTGCGTTCAAACCATGAGTTTATCGAATTTCGAAGATTTTCCCCTTTTTCACGAATCACTCTTTTGCCCGATTTTTCAGAACAAGAGACGCTCCTTTACAAAGATGAAAATGGCTGGACAATTGGACTTTGAGCTTCAATTTCAAAAGTTCTCTGCTATTCAAAAGTTTTTAGGCAGATTTAATGTGGTTTCTATGAAGATTGTGGTTTCTGACTTGATTATCATTTAAAACTGTCTGTTGTTCAAGTCATCTGTTTCAAGTTTCGGTATCGGTACAAGCATTTTCATTTTAAATGCTTATCAGATTGGAAAAGAACTATTGGCTTAGTGTTTTTTTTTTCAGCGCAAAATCAAGTATTTCAAAGAAAACTTGCAGGGTCTCGAGTCTGTGATTCGGAAAATAAATCACAAGAATTATTCAGGGGCGCAAGAAACTGAGTTTTTTGGGCTAGTCAACATTTTGATTGGCCGAGTCAGCTTGATTGAACGACTCACTCCAAACGATTCACGTTAACAACGTTAACCACTTATTTAAAAAAATCACGTGGATCATTTGATCATCTCGATGATTCCGTAAACAACGGACATACTTTGAGCTTGTCTGCTTTTTTAAGTACTCTCTTCATTCGAAAGTTGTTAATTTATCACTGTAGTCAACTCATAATGCGTCGTTTGATGTGAAAAAATTTCCTATGCCTGTTTTTGAAGAGGACATACATTTTGAGACCTACGGTTTTGTGTGAGATCAAGTATTTCAGGCTTAGTCACCCTTGAGTAAGTTTTGTTTCAAGGATTATTCAACACTGGCAGGTGTTCTTAATTGGCATGTTTTCCTCGAAATTATCGAGCGTTGATATGTTTTTTCTCAAGATTATTTTGACTTAGTGGCTTTCATCTCATTTTCTTGAGATGCTATGTTTACATCTAGTTTGACGCTTTGTTGAATTAATTGCTGCTGCCCTATAAACTACTCTTCTCCAAAAAAAAGTTTTGAAAAACTTTTCAAAAAAATCCCGTTTTTTGCTTCAGTTACCATACTCGGAACTTTCTGTACTTCTAGCACAGCAACTGCCTTCTCTTTTAGTTTGTGTTTTTTTGTTGTTTCAAAGAACTTACCAGCTGCAGATCCATACGTGTTTGATGCCTCAATGTAAAGACAGCACACAAAGTTGGGAAACAGTACCACATACACGATGTCCGAGCACAGTACCCACAGTTCGAATACTGAGTCCACTGAGAGCGCAATTAGGGTGGCCAGGGTGCCCACACACAGAATTGAAGTCTTAAGAATCAGACCCAGTTCCTGTTCTGCGGCCTAAAAGTTGTTCTTATCGGAAAATTATCTCGAACTGTTTCTAAGCTTTAAACGGAGGTATATACACTTTTTTTATAATTAGGGTTGGGAATGTTTTACGAGTAATGGGTTGTTTTAAAGAAGGTTTACAAAAAAAAAAGAATTTTTCGAAACGCTAATAAAAGTATGGGAGCAGCTTAGTTTTTCAAAAAAAAATTAAACAAATTTTTTAAATAGCAACCAATTGGATTTCAAGAGGCATTCTACTGGGACAAATATTCTTGGCACCGTTTTGGACAGAAGTTTTATTCATTCAAAATGACAATAAGTGAATCTTCGGAATAAACTTAGAGTTGGAAAACCTATCACTGATTTTGGAATTAAGTGCCAAATAGAAATCTGAAAATTTATTTTGTCAACATTTGGGTGCATGTTGATTTCCTTTTTTAAAAAAAAACAAATCATTTACATTGGGTCTGAAGACTTGCTTGTAGACATTCCTGGTAAACATGGAACTTGCTGACAACACTGAGCTATCGGCAGACGACATTACAGCAGCAGACACTGCACCCAACCCCACCCAGCTGACCATGGGGGGAGTGAGGTACTGCAGCACGAGGGGCAGAATCAGCTTGCTCTCTCCGATTTCAGAGGGCTGCTTGGCCTCGTAGCCCACCAGCGTCCAGTCTGGAAAATGCTCAAATTTAATGTTCCAACTCTCAGAATTGGTTAAAACATAAGCATGAATTGATAAAATAACTTGAGTTGTCAATAACCTGGCCAATCATTTAATGGTTAGTTTTTTGATACTTAAAATTGACAGCGGATGGAATCTGAAATTTTTGGTGATACTTGTTACGTCCGCTGTCTTAAACCTAAAATATTAGGCAGACAATGGGATAATGGCCATGTGAATAGCCTGAAATACAATTTAAAAAAGGGCTTCTCCATTCTCTATTCATTCACTTATCCTACAATTATTAGTTAGAACCCGGAGATGCTACTGCACATTTACTTAACTTAAACGTTAATTGTCAAGCAATTCAATACAAACCATCCAAAGATCTTGCAGCGGCTCCTAAGAGGACGGCGGGAATGGCCATAACAAAACACCCGATTCCTCCGCTGAAAGACAGTCCAATTGCCCTGCCGACTGACCTGGAGGAGAGAACTCTCTGGAAGTACACCTGCCACGGGATCCCTCCGAACATCTGGAAACAAAACTGAGATGGAGTCTTTTTACTAATGACTTTGGGGCTTTCATGTATACAAAAACAAAATCTCTAAAGGTTACAAGGGCCCCAAAAAAATAAATTTTTAGGTTTCGGGCCTCAAAACTATGAATTTCCCCGAAATTGGCCCCAAAGTTTGAATTGCTCGTAATTTGAACTATTCCAGTTTTCAAGGGTTTTGGAGAAACATCTCTCCATAATTATCGAGCATATAAGATGAATATTTGAACGAGCCATCAAAATTTTAAGCATGTTCATAATTCTGTTTTCATGACTCTGGAATGATGTTGACTTACGAGAAGGAGTGCTATATCTAGCCAGTGTCCGGCCTGTTTCCACTCGAACTCTCCTTTCCACTCTGGCCAAGTTTCCATGATCGGCTTCACGTGCTCGTTTCCCAGGGCAAAGGGCACACAGATCCACTAAAATTCATGTTAATAGCTCCAAAATGTAAGTGGATTCCACTTACAAAACTTCCGTGGATTCCGCGTACATATGAGTATCACGTAAAATTTGTCGGCATATTTGTCGGCAACAAGCGAATATAGCTAGTTATTTTGGTTTCCGCAACTCTATGTGGATTCCGCAAAATGTAAGTGGATTCCGAATTTTGTTCAATGCTGAACTTGCATATGAACAACTAAAAGCTAGATCTGGAATTCTTATCTCTAGCAATGCGGAATTTAAAAGCAAGGACTTAATCATTGTCAGCGGAATCCACGAACAAGTCTTAAAACATTGGTTACCTAAATCGGTGGATGTCATCTTATCGTATTTTGAAATACAACACCGAATAGATTCAATATTTCGAGTCATTGAGTTGAGAGTGTATGGAAATGCAACACGCAGCATACCGCCAAATTTGGTCGGTATTTAGGATTGCGTCAATTCAAAATACTGATTTTGGAAGCATAACGCCAAATAAATTCAGTATTTGTAGTCTTTGGATTGAGAGTGTATGGAAACACAACACACAGCATATCGCCAAATTAGGTCAGTATTTGGGATTCCATCAATCCCAAATACTGGTCAGTATTTTGGATTGATGGAATCCCGAAAACTGGAATAATATGGAATAAATATGGAATAAATTCATTAATTGGAGTCATTAGGTTGAGAGTGATTAGAAACCCAACGCATAGCAAATCGTCGAATTAGTTCGGTATTTGGAATTTTATCGAACCCGAATATTGGTCAGTAATTGGAATTCCATTAATCCCAAACACCGATCAAGTAAACTCCTATTCTAGTGAAATCAAATGATGTAACTCAAAGATATAATTTCAAACGCTACTATATATATATATATATATATATATATATATATATATATATATATATATATATATATATATATGTATATATATATATCTAAACGGAGTCCGCAAACAAAATACGGATTCAACTTACAATTTCCGGATTCAACTTACATTTTGCGGATTCCGCTTACAGTTGCGGATTCCGCATCAGCCCAATTTTACTATACACGTGTCTTAATGTTTGTTTAAGAACTCCACAAACTGTTTTGGATTCCCCAAGTACGGTTGCGGTTCCTCAAATTTGTCTATTTTTGGAGCGATTTTGAGCTGAACAGTATTTTAAGTATTTGTTTGAGGAGCTTTAATAGCAAAGAAGATCAAAGATAAGTAGCAATGATGTGGATTCCTTGACAGATCTGATTTTGGATTGTTGTGGAATCTGATTACAATGCACAGAATGCACAGTTTAGCCTCGTAATGGATCTTGGTACAGTCGCACCTTAGCTACACAAGCAAAGCGAAGCGTAGTGTTTTCTTACGGTATTTATTTTTTACGGCACATGTCGCACATAAAAGTTTCGAACGCAAATAAAAGTTAAGGGTTTGATTGAAAGAGGAGGTACGCGAATCTTCTCTGCACAAGTTGTGTCTGCCTGGCCTACTTTTTTGATGAAAAAAGTTTTCCCCCTAGAAAAATGTACCAGTTTTAAAATTTTGCCCGTTTTTGGAATTTTTCTGAGTTTTTTCAAAAACCTTTTCGCAAAATCTAAAATTAAAAGTTCAATTTCAATCGTTTTGGATATTTTTTTGTTTTTCTTGAAAACTACCTTGCCAGTTCTAGAAATCAAAAGCAGTTAGAAATTTCTCTGCAGAGGCAGTTACTCGCTACCTTTTATAGGAACTTAATTTTGGAACCAGAAAAACTCTTTTTTTTTTAAATTTGACTTTTTTCGGAAGGATTTTATCCGTAACTACCCTGCCAGATCTGAAATAAAGTGTTCAATTACACTAGGAGATGCTAGAAGTTTTTCTGCTTTGCAACTGAACCCTTATTTTTGGTTAAAACGAAGGTTGAGTTCAAAAAAATCCATGTTTTGAAATGTTGACCTCGAAAACTACACTTACAAATTCATAACTAAAAGTCAATCGAAAAACAAAGCGCTAAGAACGTTTTTTTTTCATTGCGGCTACGCCCTAGTTGTCGTTCAAAAGCACTGATGGACATAGCAAAAGTCAGTTTTGTGAAAAACTTTTTTTTTGGAAATTTTGGAAGTTTTTTTTTCGCTTCAGCATTATTTCCAAAAAGTGTTATTAAACCGGTACGTTAAGCTGCGCAGCAAAAACCCAGATGCTAAGACGTTTGACAGTAAACCATGTAGTAGGGGCTGGACTCTGGCACACAGCAGAAACTTAATCTTACCTTTTTTTTCAATTTTCCATTTTTGATCTTTTTAGAGCTACTTTTGGCCCGTTTTCTCGGGTCTTTGTGAAAACAATATTTCTATATCAATTTTTTAAGTAAATTATATCTTTTTTCTTCTGACCGTTTAAAAGGGAAGATTATTTTGTGATTGGGTGTGTTTCATTTTTTTCTATTTTCTTTGGTTTTTCGCGAAAAACAGGTACCACAAAGAGTCATCAGAATATGTCCAGTGATACAACAGATTTCAGCCTTTTTATTTGGGATTTTATGATTTGAAAGACGTCCAAAACAGTTCGAAACAACATCCTAATTTCCAGAAAAATAGGCTGGAAAATTTGAGTAGAGCATTCGAAAAATTTCATTTCGAGCGAGTAAAGCAATCAAGTAACAAATGTTATACAAAACTAAATGATTTTGGCCGTAGAATTCAAAAATAACTGCTTTTGGAAGCCCTTGTAGCAGTTGTTTGGCAATTAAAACCGTCTTTAAAAATTTAAATTAATTGTTGTCTAAAATTTATCAGAAAAAATTGAGAAAAACTTATAAAAATTTTTTAACTTTGTGCTTGTTAGAACTTTTTTGAAGTCACATGATATCGATTATGTCTAATCAACTAATATACTAAACGTTCGCACTAAAAAACCATGCACTAAAATTACTCATTTTTACGGCATATGTCCCACATAAAAGCTTCAAGTCGCAAATAAAAATTAAGGATTTGATTGAAAAAGCAGGTATGCGAGTCTTCTCTGCACAAGTGGTGTCGAACTATTTTTTCGATCTAAGATTAAAAGTTCAATTTCAATCGCTCTTTGGATATTTTTTGGTTTTTTCGAAAACTACCTTGCCAGTTCTGGAAAACAAAAGCAATTGGAAATTTCTCTGCAGAAGCAGTTACGCGCTACCTTTTATAGGAACTTAATTTTGGACCCAGAAAAAGTTTTTTTTTAAAACTTTGACCTTTTTGGGAAGATTTTTATCAATAACTACCCTGCCAGATCTGAACTAAAGATTTCAATTACACTAGTAGATGCTAGAACTTTTCTGCTCTGCAACTGAACCCTAATTTTTGGTTAAAGCGAAGGTTGAATTTAAAAAAAAAATCCATGTTTTCAAATGTTGACCTCGAAAACTACACTTACAAATTCATAACAAAAAGTCAATTGAAAAACAATGCGCTAAGGACTTTCTTTTCATTACGGCTACGCCCTAATTGTTGCTGAAAAACAGTGATGGTTGTAGCAAAAGTCAATTTTGTGACAATTTTTTTGTTTTTTGGAAATTTCGGAAGTATTTTTCGCTTCAGCACATTTTTCAAAAATTGTTTTTAAACCGATAATTTAAGCGGCGCGGGAAAACTCCAGATGCTAAGACGTTTGACAGTAAATCATGTAGTCGGGGCTGGACTACGGCACACATCAGAAGCTTAGTCTTACCTTTTCCTTCCTTTTTTCATTTTTTGATCATTTTAGAGCTACTTTTGGCCCTTTTTCTCGCTTTTGTTTGCAAATAGCAGCCTCGCTTCTTTGTGAAAACAATATTTCTATATCATTTTTTATTTGAGTTATATCGTTTTTTTCTTCTGACCGTTGAAAAGGGAGAGGAATTTTGTCACTGGGTGTGTTTCAGGTTTTTTCTATTTTTTTTTTGGTTTTTCACGAAAAACAGGTACCACAAAGAGTCATCAGAATATGTCCAGTGATACATCAGATTTCAGCCTTTTTAGTTGAGATTTGATGGTTTGAACAGTTCGAAGAAACATCCTAATGTCCAGAAAAACATGCTGGAAACTGAGTTTTAGTCTAATTTCATTTCGAGCGAGTAAAGCAATCAAGTAACAATCGTTATATGAAATTAAGTGATTTCGGCCGTAAAACTCAAAAATAACTGCTTTTGGAAGCCTGTTTAGCAGTTGTTTGGCAATTAAAACTGGCTATAAAAAAGTTTTAAAAATTTTGTTTAAAAATTAACAGAAAAAGTTAAGAAAAACTTTAAAATATTTTTAAGTTTTGTGCTTGTTATACATTCTGTGAAGTCAAATGACAAATGATGTCAATTATGTCTCATCAATTAATATACTAAACGTTCGCATAGTTCTCTATTCACACCATGGACTGAGAACCACTCTAATTTGAAAAAAAACTACTTTGTTGTTTTATCTATAAATGTGATCGCAGCAGTCTGTGCTATACTTGCACAGCAACCGCCTATCCTTGTTGTTCTTTATTTGAATAAAAAAGAAGCACATTCAAAACAGAAGTCAAAAATCAGTCTCTAGTTTGTTTTTGCTCCTTCGCTTTTGCCTCGCGAGAAAAACTCCTCAATTTTAGTGGTGGTAACATGGTTACTCACGAGACCGACGAACATGCAGAGGAGTTGGATGACGTCAGTGTATGCCACCGAGTATAGTCCCCCGAACAGGGTGTATAGTACTACAATACAGGCACTGATCACCACACTGTAGTTGTTGGGGATGTCAAGAATGACTGTGATTGTTGAACCCAGTGCCGCTGAAAAACAAAGCGGGCTTGAAACTTGGTTCGAAATGAGTTTCTGAAATGAGCCTCTGACCCCAATTAGCACTAATTTTGATGAGAGATCATTCGCCGAAAAAAATCACTGATTTTATTTTGAATGGCTAACTTTGCTGTATTTTGAATGACTTAATTGCGATTTTGTAACTTTTTACCCAAAATTGCGGCAGACCAGAACGTCTCTCCCACCAGGGCGGGGAGGTAGAGAAGTCCCCCCATCTTAGTGCCAAACTTCTCCTGGAAGGGATCCAGCATCGTGATGTAATTTCTGCTCCTCATTATCTTCGCAAAGCATAGACCACCTAAAGATAAAAAAAATGTTGGTGACTGAGAACTACTCCAGCCTCAGAATTCTGAGGCTAGAGTATTTCTCAGTCATCAAAGTTTTTGTTTGAACAATTCAACCCCCTTTTTGGTTTTTCAGTTTCTACTTTTCTTTAGGATTATAATTTACTTAGTTTGATGCACTCAATTCTTAGCCAATGTTCCGGACTCCCTTACAGCCGCTCTAATCAATTTTCCAATTTCATCCACGCGAAATTAAGTTCCACAAATAACCAACAGAATGGATCCAGTGATCTATCGAAGTGATGCACCTCCAGTCGTGAGACAGCTGACATCAAAAAAATTTGCATACAATTTTCTGTGTTGATAAAAGCTGGTTAAGAAAAAAAATTTTTAGAACAATTTTAGCAAGTAAAGCAGGCACCCATTGCCCCTTCTAAAGGATTTGACCCCCTCGCCACCCAAAGAGTTGCACCCAAATGGAGGGGCTGTAGCGAATGGGCAAGACGTGCCTCTTTTGACACGCAGGTCGTGTGTTCGAATCCCACTTCGGTCACGGTTGGAGGGGTCCCAATGTCATCCGCCTCCTCAAGGTGGGACCGGCATCGGTAAAATGGGCGACACCAATCTCCCCCACAGAAGCAAGGCCCAAGATAGTAAGGAAGGAGTAGGGCCGAGAGCAAATAAAAAATAGCACCCAAAAGTACCATTTTGCCCCATCCGTTTTGGACCGTAAAGTTTTTATAAAAGTGCCTTTGGCTCCAATATATACTAATTAATTAATTAATTTGTATATATTGGACCCAATATATATTTTGAGGAAAAACGGGCGCCAAAAACTTGGTTATTTTTTTTTGGTCAAAACCTTACAAAAAGTGCCTAAAACAACGTCCCTGGCCTTTTTTCAAAAAATTGCCTGCAAGCAAAGTATTTGATCAAAATAGGGTCTTCGAGGTTTTTTTTGGGAGAGCTCGGAAAATATATATTTGCCGCCCTAAACACGGTCGATAATAATTTGGATTGTTTTTTTGAAAAATCTTGATATGCACCTGAAATTGGAACTTCCAAACAGAAAAATGACTCGATAAATGATTGAGTGGAGATTTTGATAGGTCGGGCTAACCGATGAAAAGACTGAGTGAGTATCCCCATGGTGCCTGGTTCCACACCATCCCATAAGAGGGGTCATATATTGCCTCTGCAGTGCCATTGATGAAGCCACCTCCGACCCACGTTGCTGAAATGATAAACAAAATACTTAAATATTTATGTTTTTCAGATTGTTTTGTAACTAGATGCTTTCTAATTACACAATCTATTAAGAACCTCTTTTAGATTTTTTAATTTTGTTACATGACCACATCAAGAACTGACTAAAATAACTTGGGTCTAGTATGGTTTTTCTACCAATGTTTGTTTGTTTAAGGCCTCAGAGAAAGCTCGTATGGGGGTAAAATGTAGCATAATCAAGCCTTCTTGATTGCTTGATTGTGATTGGGATTCAAAAAAATAATGAAGTTTTCACAGTGTCGACAAAAATTAGTCTAAATCAGGGGTGGATCTAGGATTTTCTCGAGGGGGGGGGGGGGGGGGACGGATTTTCAAAAAATTCTTGAAAATTTTGTCGACATTTCTTTTTAGGTGAACCAAATTGATTTTTCGAGCTTTCCCAAAGCATTAAAAAGACCCTGTTTGGTCAAACTTTCTGCGCTGCAGGCAAAATTTTGAAAAAACAGGCCAAAAAAAGCATTGTTAGTCACTTTTTGGAAAATTTTGACCAAAAAATCACGTTTTTTCGGCGCGCGCTCCCCCCTAAAAATTACTATATATTGGCGCCTAAGGCGCCTTTAGACAAATTTTTGGGTCCGTGAACCAAAAATGGAAATCCCAAAATAGTACAAAGGGGACCTTTTGGGTCGGCAGGGGGTCGAATCCCTGAGGGGGGGGGGGGGGGGCGTCCGCCACCTATATCCACCCCTGGTCTGATTACTTTTATTGAGAGAGCAATTTACAACCAATTGAGAGAGCAATTTACTGTCGCTGCTTGGAATTTAGGCCTGAAACCGGCTTTTTTATTTTGGTTTTTTGGGCAGGCTTTTTTTGTGTTTTTGTATATTTCTGTGAATTTTAAGTAATTCTCTTGCGATTAAGTAGAGATGGCGATTTGAAAAAAAAAAGAAATTAAACCCACTATTTTGTTAAATTTGAAAATGAATTTACTGCCATTGACAGCAAGATACCGCGCAAGTTGTATATAATGCTCCGAAAATTGCAAAAAAAATCTTTGAAATTGAATTTGTTTTTGATTTTTTCCAAAGTCAAATGATCAAGCCACAGGTTTCATCAGAATTGTCATTTATTTTACAAAAAATTAAGATCACAAGAAAAAACTGTATAAAAATATCATTAAATTATAACAAGGATAGCCGATTATTGCAAATATAGCCAAGAAAACTCCTGCCACAGTAATATTAAAACTAAAATAGAAACATTTTTTTTGTATATAAATTGTAGTTTGGTATTCGTGGTGCGATGAGTGGACCTGGACAAAAGCCTTAATTTCAGACATACTACATAGTAAGGGTAAAATAAGAATAACTTGTAATCTAGCGTAACAGTTTTCTTCAAAAAAAAAGAAGAAAAAGTTCTAAATTTTTGCAGACGTTTCTTTTATTTTTCCAAAAAAATTCTGAATAGTAGGCTAAAACACTTAAAAAATTGAGGTATAGCTGAATTTTCACAATTCAATTTATAAGGGCTACTTTGAGCTATAAGCTATAATAAGCCTATTGTAAGACCCACTCACTCACTTCACTTACTCGAAATTAGACTAAACTCAGAAAAAGCAAACCAATTTCGAATCAATTGATGTGATTTTTTATGATCTATAACTCAACTCATTTTGATGCTTAACTCTGGTACTTGATTTTGCGTGGCAAGCAAAAAAAAGTTTAAAATTCACCCGTACACAAAGTTCTTCCCCATTTTCAATATTCGGAAGGACAAATATAAACACTATGAAAACAGAAAAAAAAACATTGAAAACTTATATCTGAACTTCAAATAAAGTAGATGAATACTTTGTGGTTCAGATTTTCTTGTAACTTGATACATTCCAGCTATACGTTATATTTTTTTGTTATGCGACCGAATCAGGAAATGACCAAAACAGACAATGGTGTTGAAAGTTTTTTTTTACCCAGTTTTCTCTACCTCATAAAACTTTGAATGAGTTCAAGTGTGGTATCATTCACAAGATTTATAAGTCGTCAGTGGGGTTTGAAAAACTACAAAATAATTCAATGTCAAGAAAAATTGGTTTAACAATTTTCGTTTTCAGGCCAATTTAGAGTTCGGTTTGGTAGCGTCACGAGAGAATTACCCCAGTAAAAAGACAAACGTTTTGTTTTAAGTTTCAATTAAACTAATATTAAATTTAGGAACAGAAGTAAACGTTTTTTTTTTAAATCTAGAGTTCCTTTTGAAATTTTTCTCAAAGTTAATATCGGTGGTAAAAATCTGCACTACTGGCAAAACAACCAACTAATTGTGTTTTTTTTCTGTCGGTTTTTTTTTTGTTCAGCATGAGTAATTAAGCGTAAATTTCAATCAATTGGAACACAGATCGCCTAACAAGAGCACCGGGCTACATGGCAAATAGTACATACTGCTGAAAGAAAGTGCAAACGAACATCTGCAACTAGAAAAATTTTATTTGTTTTATAAGTTCTTCAAAAGTCAAATGATAAAGCCACAGATTCAGCAAGAAAACCTAATTACTGTACAGGTAAAAATCAGTATGATGCAAAATCAGTATTGTTCGATCAACTCAAGATGTTATTGGCCATCAACCAGAAGTTGGATGGGCTTTCAGGGGAAGAGTGGCCTCATCGTCGACAGCTTTGGATCCAAATGAACAAAACAGGTTAATTTCAAGTGGAGTAAAGGCTAGAGATTTTAAATCATTAGAGGTTGAAGATCAGGTCACAAAGTTGATCATAGGATCCAGGATAATTTGGACAGTGGGCAACCCTGATATCCCTTTAGACACCGAGATACAAGCTTATAGTGGCTCCAACACCCAGGAAAAATCTAACTTGGTTGGAAAATACTTTCAGAAAAAAACTAAAAACTTTAGTGCTACACGACGGCACAAGCAGTATTTTAAATACCGATAAGAGCGCTAACGATATCTAAAACGACGTCAAAAACTTGGTTGACTTGTTTTCTGAAATCTTTTCATTATCTGTGAAGTACAACCACTGAGTAAAAAAGCAAGCAATGATATGAAAAACAGTCGAATAAAATACATGATGAAGTATTGGATGATTATTATGATACCAAAATTTATCATAGGATTAAGCTAAATTAGAAAATAAAAGATATTGGCGATTTTAATTGAAATGGATTTTGTGGAAATAGTAGTCCTTGCAATCGCCAATATCTTTTAATTGCTAACTTAGCTTAATCTTATCATACCCTTTGACATCACAGTAATCAATCCATACTGCATCATATTAATCTATTCGACTGTTTTCCATATCATTGCTTGCTTTTTTACTCAGTGGTGGTAAAAAACCACTCAGTAAAAAGCAAGCAATGATATGAAAAACAGTCGAATGGATTAATAAGATGCAGTCTTGGTTGATTATTGTGATATCAAAGGGTATGATACAATTAAGCTTAAGGGGCAAATAAAAGATCTTGTTGATTACAATGACTACTATTTCGACAAAATCCATTCAAAGGACAATCATTCTGCCGTTTTTGAATAATATACCAAGGAAGCGCGAGACCGACAGAAACAACTTGGTCTCTAATGCTGAATGCTTTAAAAAGACAAAACTAGCCAAAACTCACACCTTCAGGGGTATCAATCATCATATACAATATCAGATGCCTATGAGTTTGTACAACAACTATTGATGATATGTTTGTTCAAAATATGTGTAACTATGATTCGTTATGCAGCAACCAACATATTTCTTGATGATACTATTTCTGTTGTCGTTCTTACTTTCAACTTGGTAAACCCGGTGGAACGGCAGTGGACCACATCGACTTGACAAAAAAAATTTCAGCAGTAATTTATTTCATGCCCTGCTTTTTTCGACCTCTGAGAATTTATTTTTAAGAAAATCACTTAGGTGAGCAAAAAAAACGTTTGATATGCGGAGTTATTCAAACCAACCCAGCCCCCATACTCATTTATTCCGAACCTAAAACAAAACTAAAACAAAACCTAAAATTTATGACATTAGTTCATCTAAATATCCAAAGCATAAGCGGAAAAATCAAAAACATCGAAAGTTTTTTGAAACTATCTGGGAAAATACAACCCTTGCATTAACGGAAACTTGGCTTCAACCCAACTTTCCCTCAAACTTTTTGTTGATTGAATCTAGTTATCAGTTTTTTGAGCAAGATAGGTCAAACAAGAAATTCAGAGGTGGTGGTTTACTTCTATGCATACCTAAGAAACTCTATCCCGTGTTAAGAGATGATATACAATAAATTAACAACAGCATTTTTGAGAGCTTTTGAGTAGAGTTAGCTTTTGGGCTATTAAAATAAAAGAGCTTTTTTGAACCATGCCTCTTGGCCAAACACTAGACACACCGATCTTTTCCTTGAAAATTTAGCCTGTGATATTGACTCCATAGACATCTAAATAGAAAAATTCGACCTAGATAGTCCCCTAAAGTGCTTCAGAACTCACAAACTCAATTTGAGCGAAGACAAAGCAGACTCTAGAATCAAAGAAACAAATCAAGTTAATTATTTAGGTGTCATCATTGACAATATAACCACAATGAAGCTAGAAGTTAAAAACGTTCTACGCAAAATAGCAACAGCAATAAAAAACCTAGCTCAACTTAACTTCTGAAAATTAGGTTCTCAGCCAGCTCTATTATTCACTGCCACTATTAGTTGGCATTCGAGAAAATGCGCTAAACACTTTAGACACACAAATCAATTGGGCCGTTTAGACCGCTGTTTTCAAAGGACAGTATGAATTTTGAATCTCTCTGAAAACAAACCCAAAACACTTCCTATACGTCCCAGAGTAAGATACGATAGGCTAATATAGTTTTGCAAGTTGATAAATAACAAATTACCGTGTTTTGATCAAACATAATTTCCAAATTACGAATACTGCAAATTCAAAGCACTTACTAAGGAAGTTTATTTCACTTTTAACATGACAAGCAAGTACAAAGACAAACTTATTCTTGTGAAAGCTTGCCATTGGTTTATTTTCTAGCATGAAAAACTGAAATATACAACCTCCTATCCTCTGTTCAAAAAACAACTGAACCAACATCATTTAGAATTGTTTGTTAACTCCTGGGAGCTACCAATTTTCGATAACACTTGGAAAGGTTGTAAGATTAAGGCTACAGCTTATTAATTAATTTAATTTGGCGCTTTAATTGTCGCCATCTTTTGATCACCTAATTCACTAAATATGTGAGTTACTAAGTTACTCTTATCAGCTCATTGTTGAGTCGGATAAAAAATTTTTCTTGTTCATTAAGGTACACTGGGTAGAATGTGCTGTGCCTCATTGACCATTTTATCAATTCAGTGTTTGTTTCTCTGGGTAAAATCAGCTCTTAAAAAACTTTATTAATAAATATGTAATTTTCGTGCAAGTGTTGTTCAAAAACGAATAACAAAAAATTAGGCTTTAATGTGGCATCTGTAATTATTTGTGGTTTCCCTGATCTTGCATTGGAAAATTTTTTTTTTTAATTAGAACCCACTTTAAAACAGTTAATCTCTTGGCCAAAAATGGAGTTCCATTAAAAAGATATTATAGGCGAAACATCGATTTCGTAGGGGTGTCAAAATCCTGAGGAGATGGACGCGCGGTCAGTCCCCCTTCTGGTTTGCTACTGCTCTTATTCTTTTTTCTACAAAGCAAATCGTTAGCTAAGGGAACTATAGCTAAAAACATTTTAAGAGCAACTCAATCAAATTCCACATAAATCTGTTTAGGAACATTTATCCGTAGAGAGTAATGGAATAAGACACGATCTGCAGTTCTCAATACAACTGCGAACGTCTATTGCTTCTCTTAGGATGTATCTATCTAAAAACATCTTTGCACTAAATTACCAAACAAGGATCCTTGCAAGGGACACACACCCAGCCCTACGATTGAAAAACAGAAAGATAAGCCTCATCAGAAAAGGGCGAAAAAGAGGGTTTACCTGTCATAGTGAACGAGCCAACAACCCATCCGATATTCCGTCCCGCCAACATAGCTTCAACTTCCTGTCTCGTAGACTTAATTTTGCCCTGTATTCCCAGAACCAAGATAGAGTTCGACCTGGGTTTCTTCGAAACTTCATTTTCGGGCGCGTCATCTCCTTCTTCATCTTTTCTGACAGCTTCCTTTTTGCTCTTCCTGCCATACCACGCCGCCCAAAGTCCGGATATCAGAATGGCTAAATAAAAGAAAATGACCGAAATGAGACCTCCAATGTTAACAGCCATTTTAAGTAATCTGATAACACTGATATCTCTTTATATTAGTAAAATTATGCGTTTAAACATAAATCACTATTACAGGTTTGTTTTGTGTACGAATACACAACGTTTTATCTATCAGATAAAAGCTGATTTCTAAATCTAATGAACATTCAAATGAGGTTGATGTATACTTAGAAGTCAATCCAACTTCAAATTTATAACTTTGGTTATGTATTGAGCAAACAGATTAAAAGGTAATCTTCAAAAATTCAAGCCTCTGTCGAACATTTACTATTCTGCAGTTTTGATAATGACACGCAGAATGGATTTGAAACCGAATAAAGTCAATAAATAGTAGACAGGTTAACTTTCGCAATTTGATTGATGGTGAGTGCTCCGAATCCTGTTCAACTCCCGGCTTGACCGCCATAGACAAAAACTGCTAGTCATACAGTTGCTATGCTACTTTTCTACGAAAAAATGCAAGTCATACCTTTCCATACTAATTTTCTATGAAAAAATGCTAGTCAAACAGTTGCCATACTATTTTTCTATGAAAAAAAATGCTAGTAATACAGTTCCATACTATTTTTCTATGACAAAATGCTAGTCAAACAAATGCCATACTATTTTTTTTTTAAATGCTGGTAGAACAGTTGCCATACTATTTTCTATGAAAAAACATTAGTCACGCATTTCCATACTATGTAAAAACTGTATGACTAGCCTTCTCTTAAAATCAAAAAACTACTTGTATTCCGAAAACAAAACAAAATAATTAAGTTATGAAGATCAAAAAACTAATCAGCGGTCAAATAGTTATCTCCAAACTTGTTGAAACAGACAAGAAAAAAATTAAAAACGGTGTTCAATCTTTCAGTATTTGAGATTTAAATGGTGAGTTCAAACTGTTAGCATTAAATGATATTGAGCTATTAGACAGTCTGGTTGATGACCCACAAAATTAACTGAATTTAAAAATGTAAGTATATATGTTAATGGAATCCGCAAAAAAATGCAGATTTCGCTTTCATTTTGGGGATTCCGCTGACAATTTGCGGATACTGCTCAAAATTTGAGGATTCTGCTTAAAACTTGCAGATTCCGCTTACAGTTTTGAATTCCGCAACAGCTAATTTTTGCTATACTTATTTTTGTTTCGACTTTCGGTAACGGAATATTTGTGCTCGGGGTGGGTTTTTTTTCTTCAGACAAATTTCGACTTTTTAACTAGACATTTTTGACGGAATTTTTTTTATCTCATTCGAAAGCTATTGTTGTCTTGAGCTCAAATTTGAAAAGATATTTCACCTGTGATCGTTTTTCGTAAAATTATGGGGGTTTAGAGATTGCCATTTTGGCCAATTTGGGACAATTAACGCGCAATATATTTCGCGCTATTAACGCGTAAGCGGAGAGTTAATCCGTCTTAAAATCGTTCCAAATTGATTGAAAGAAGCTTATTTGCAATAATTGATTTGTTACAAGGAGCGAAATCTATCCTTTGGGCGTGTGGGGGAATAATTTTTCACAAAAAGTTTCAAATTTTAGAAAAAAAAGTTTTCTTGTTATTTTATAACATTCAATTTTTTGATGTTATTACTGCTCCATAAAACCTTAAAAGGCAGTCGGAATAATCAGGGCGTCACCCTGATACGAGCAGTCTTGTTTATTATTTGTTTTTGGATTCTACAAACTGTTCCGGATTCAGCAAATACTGTGGCGGATTCCGCAACTTCGCCTATTTTTGGAGCGTTTTTGTTCGGTGCAGTGTTTTAACTATTTGTTTCTGAAATCCACAACAGCAAAAATATCAGAAAAAAGTAGCAATGTAGCGGATTCCGCTTACAATTCACAAAATGCACAGTTTGGCCTCGTAATGATAACTCTTAGTCTTGAGCAACGTGCGTTTTACTATTTGGTTTTTATTTAAAAAGAAAAACTAGTTTTTACGCACATCACTGCATAAAAATACACCATTGAACAAAAACAAATGCAGAGAAACAGAACAAAATTGTAGCTAAGTTTGAATAATAAATCATACCTTGCAAAACAGCTCAAAACAGTCTTTCACTTTCAATTCAACTGCTATCATTTTATAATTCAGAAAACATTTGAATTTTTATTGGCTTGAAAAACATGGCTCACTTTCAAGTAGACAAAGAGTTTTACCAGAAGATTGCGAACCCTGGTATGCCTTCTCCAACTGTGAACAAATACAGCGAACATTGCCAAAAACAGCACATGCCGACAAAAGTCAAAGTCATGCCCAAAAAAAGCTTGGTCAAGGCTATTGAGTTCGCACTTCAAAAAGGCGGAGATATTTCCAAGAACACTGAAATTCTCAGAATGTGTGAAGAGGTAGAAGTTTCGAAGTTAAATGAGAAAAACTTCTGCTGTATTAGTCACCGATGGTGCACTTCAGATGTTGAAGTGGACGCTTTTGCCGAAACGTTTTCACAATTTCTCAAAAACACTTACTTGTGTGCTGATGACACTTGCTTCGAAGAGAAAACGTTTTTCGAACACGCTTCAAATTGGTGGAGTTTTGTCGGAAAACTAGTGGAAATGATTTTTGACGAAAACGGAAAAAATGAAGTATTTTTGAAGTACTTACTAGAAAGAACCACACTTTTTGGATTCAAGGAGACTGAAAAATCAATGGGATTGGAAACTGACAATGCTGACGATCTTCTGGATGTTAGTTAGTTTTCATTATTTGAACTGTTAACCTAGAATTTAAAGAAGTTTTTCGTTTTCGTTTGAAAATTAACCCAAAAATCTTTTTTTTGTTCGGACTTTTTTGTTCGGAAAAAAAATGATAAAAATTTAAAATATGTAAATATTAAACGGAATTGAAAACATTTTAGACAAAAAAGTAATTAAAAAAACTGATCGTCTTTTTCAGATGATGTCGGCTCTCCTAGTTGGTAAGTCCATGCTTCAGATGGACACATCCTCGATCACAGAATCCTACCTAGGAGACGAGACACTAGAAAAGATCAAGAGATACCTTATCTTTGCAGTACCACAAGGCGCCATGCCTCAAATCAAACAACACGACATAGCCAAACTAATCAAAAAGATCAAAGACCAGAAAATAGATTTTCAGAAGTCAAAACCTGATCAACTTTTTGCACAGATATCTGATGTCATTAAGAAAACCTTGGACGACTTTTCGGTTGCGCAAAAGGTGAAAGACAAAGTCCACTTCCAAAGATTCACGGAATGCGTGAACTATGTAGATCAACTGAAGACGTTGAAAAATAAGTCGAACAAGTTCAACGGACAAGATCCGATTGCGATGGTGTCGCTTATGATGTTGCAGAATAGTGCCTTCGAATACTTCTGGGTAGATGTATTTTGCACTCCTCAACGCAAAGAGGACATTGACGAAACTCTGAAGGTCAGCTTTTGCTTCCTTTAGTTCGAATATCCTTTTATTTATTTTTTCACCGCTATAGTTATAATATCTACTGTCTCTAATCTATTTAGAGCTAGAATTCACATATCTCAAATTAAACTTTTAGCAGGTCGCCTAGAATTTGATAACCGCAATAACCATTCCAAAACTTTCAAAAAAAAGCAGAAAAAAACTATAAATTGCCTTTTTGTCGTTTTTTTGGGTAGCGATTAAAAACGATAAATCTGTTGCAGAAAAATTTAAGATAAATTCGTTCTCATGAATTTTCATCTATTCTTCTAGCGTGATTTGCTTAAATAGTAAGACTGGCAAAACTCAGACCTGGAACATTTTTGTTCGAAAATTCTACTTCAAACTATCTGTTTTTATTTTAATATTGTTGTTAGCGCTCAATTTGAATCCGCTTCAATTGAATTATTTTTAGGCCGTGCAAGATGGAATGGCTGTGTTCAGCATAGCAACTGTCATAGTCTGTCCGCCATTTATGACCGACAACCTCATTCGATACTCAGAGGAACCATTGGCTGGTTTAATTGACGAATCAGCATTCGATCCCCATTTGTCAGAATACTACAAAAAGTTCCCTTTTCTGACACTAAGCGAACGGTGCTTTCTGTTCGGCGAACCCAGTTACTTCGACCGAATGTGGACGCTACATGAAATGGCGATAGGTCACACCCTTTACTACTGGTGGCAGTACCTTTTTGGTCCCTTTTCAAAAACCCCCTCCGCTGGGGCTAATAAGAGTCTAACCTTCCGGATCGATAGTATGTTTAATAACAACTACCGTGCAGGGCTAGACCAATCTAGCTACGACACTACCATGTCTCGAAGCACCGCAGTGTCGACGCTTCGACAATTCGGACCCGGTGACGGCTTGACCACAATGTTTCAAGTGAACTTCGCAACCATGCAGACGGGTTTCGCAATGGACTGGGAAATTTTGGCCACTTCCATTTTCAAACTGGAGCCGAACAGAGACGTGAGTGAACAGATTCTGCATAAGAAGCTGTCGATGTACCAGTCTTATTTGATCCAATATAGCCCACCAGGATCGAAGTACAGCCATGCTTGGTTCAAAAACCCAGAGGTAAGGAAACAATTTTTCAGTTCCTGAAACGTTTGGCCTCAAAAAAAAAATTTCAAAAGTTGCACTGTCTAATGCCATTCAATTGAAAAAAATGAAACTGAGGCTGCCAGAAGAAAACTGTGCAGTCATACTGAAAAAAAACCGATCTAAACTCATTTCCATGATTATTACAAATAAAAGTAAAGAAATTTAGACGATCAAAATTGTTTCAGCATGTAAACCATAGTTTCAAGTTCAATGATAAGTGGGAATTAATTGCGGGATGTGTCGAGAACCCTTCCAAATTCAACCCCAATACGATAAAATTCAAAGCTATTAGCGGAGGCGACGCTACACTTGGAAGCGAGACTGTACTGAAAAAGTGCAGCGTCTATTCCATCAAAGAGATTAGTTACGAGGGACTGTTTAGTCCAACGAGCCAGTATACGTTGTACCACATGATAGGTCCTAGGAAAAGTGATCTTGAAAAAGAGTTATCTAGCGGATATCTCATCATAGGAGAGTGGTCTCTCCCTCCAAAACTGGCAGAAGTTAGGAAAGAGACTGTTAAAATTATAAAAGAAAACACGCCAAAGCAACAAGATAAAAACATGAAGAAGTCGTACCAGATGATGTTCGATTATCTGACGCCAAAACAGAATGTGATGATGGTGAAGTCGGCAAATCCGAAATACGATTTCATGCTCGTGTTCGGAGTGATTCCGAACCAAATGGATAGCTTCACTGTGACGCAACCTGGCAATGAGAAGGCTGCGGGCAACAAGAAAATCAAACAAGTCGAATTTATGATGAGTTAGATTTATATCAAACTTACCAAGCACTGTCTTTTAATAAAAATTGCACTTGCTATTGTTGTAACTCAAATTAATTTTTAAAATTGTTCCGACCAGTTTTGAAAATTGAGGAGAAACTATGACCTGCGATGATGTTAGAATATTTTTAATACTGGTTGTTCCGATTCAAAAAAGATATATGAGGAAGCTTCGTTTAGCGTCGGAAAAAACTGGCTCGAATAATTTTTCTTTTTAGACTTTTTTTACTATGATGAAGCCTGAGCCAATTCCTGGGAAGGATACTTTGATTTTATGTTAAAATACCTTAATTTTATCATGCAAAACAGTTATAAAGAGCGATTTGAGCCCAATTTCTCCTAAACATAATTTCAGACTTTTTTAAAGATCGATTTATTGAAGTTAGTCCCTACTGCAATGGATTATATGACTTAAATTCTAACAATAACTTCCTTTTTTGCTTTATTTTTCTGCTTCATATTGCTTTTTTCTTTATGTTGTGTCCTTTTTGCACGTTTCAATCCAGAATGTTTTCCGACTTTGTAATGGTAACAACTTTTTACCATTACAAAGTCGGAAAACACTCTGGATTGAAACTTGCAAAAAAGGACACAACATTTTTGGAGCGATTTTGAGCGGTACAATATTTTAGCTATTTGTCCGTGGAATCCAAAAAAGCAGAGAAGATCAAAGAAAAGTAGCAATGTTGCGGATTCCGCGACAAATCAGATTTTGTCCTGTTGCGGATTCCGCTTACATTGCTCAGAATGCACAGTTTGGCCTCGTAATGAAAAAAAAACTAACGAAGTATCTTTTTGAAAGAAAAAAATCTCTTCTCAAAATTTCACAATGACTTAATACAGTTGTTGGCGTATTCAGGGCTCGGAAGAAAAATACTCGTCAGGGTTTTGTCTTTTGCTTTAACCTGGGGCGGATCTAGGTTTTTCTCGAGGGGGGGCGGATTTTTGACGACCTTTCTTTTTAGATCGGCTAAAATGCTTTTTCGAGCTGTAAAAAAGACTCTGTTTTGTCGAAAACTTTTGCGCAGGCAAATTTTTGAAAAAATAGGTCAAAAAAGCAGTTTTTTAGCACTTTTGGAAAATGTTGACAAAAAAATCCCTTTTTTTTGGCGCGCGCTCCCCCTCACAAAGTTAGTATATATTGGCGCCAAAGGCGCCTTTAGAAAAATTTTAGGGCCGGTCGACCAAAAATCGATTTCTGAAAAAGTACCAAAGGGAGGACCCTTTGGGTCGGCAGGGGTAGAATCCCTGAAAACAGAAGCGTCCGCCCCCGCCCCCCCCCCTAAATCCGCCCCTGGCTTTAACACTAAGTTGAGTAGACTAACTTGAGAAATCAAAAGATATCGTTTTTACAGTTTTTGATCAACTTTTTTTTCACTCACGCAGAAAATGCAAACTCTATAAGACTGCTAGACCCCTACCCCATAACTAGCGTCCGCCCTAAAGGTTAGTGTTCTGAGTCTAAAGAACTAAAAGTCAGCGTTTTTATAGGCTGTAGAACTTATAGTGGTTAACACGTCAGCGGAAAGTTGCAGCGAGAAATCTATAAAAAAATGATTGAACTAAGCTTACATTTTTGCAAGTCCCTTATATATTGTTTCTATCAAAAATTTTTATACATAACATACTCGGATAAATTGGCTACAGCTCGAAAGAATTGAATATCAGTTTTTATTCTTATCTGCTCATAAAAACTTCAACTTTATCGTTTAGATCGCCAGAGTATTTCTACTTGAGACTTCATTTCCCGCTGATGCATTATAGTAATTAGGTTGTTTTTCGTAGCTGATAAACCGTTTTTTTTAGTTTTCTTAACCAGCAAGGCAGAAAGGCATACAACTTAAAAGTTCTGTCTGCTAGCCAAAAATAAGAGGTCTTTAGTTAGATCAAATCACTTTCAGCAAAAAGGACTTTTTCAAGATTGTTTTTATCACTGTCAATTTTAACAGGACATTATTAAAATTTTGAGAGAAAATCGAACTCGTTGTCAGTTTTAACCAAGTTAGGTCTTATTGGAAGAGCAAGTTGAGCCGCAACTTCTTGTGTCATGGATTTAAGGCTGTGGCTACTGCAACCGATGATGTGTTAGTTTCGCGGAGGTGTGTCACAGTTTGCAGTTTTTTTCGGGTTTCAGTTTGGCCCTCAGAATTTTTGTAGTTATGCTCTTTCTTGTGCTCGGAAATTTTATTGTTTTCTGTGAATGCTAATATTGTTTTTATGGCTGGGGTATATTTTGCAGTTCCAATCTGTTGGTTTTTTTCTGTTTTGTAACATTTACGCCCACAGATGGTAAGAATTACTTTTTTTTCTGTAAAAACAGTGAAATGAAGTAACCAGAACCCTCGATTGAGAACAATTTTAAGCCCACAGTTTCAGCAATTTGATCAACTTGGTTGACTTTATTGTGGTCAAATTATTATTTATTTTCGTGGTCAAAAAAGTTGGCATTATAATCGATTATAATTACTCTTTGGGACCACGCATTCGATTATAATCCATTATAATCAACTTTTTCTAGACAAATTGAATCGATTTATAATCCATTTAAATTCCATTATTAAAAGTTACGTAAAGTTTTTCCAATTTTTTTGCTAATTTTCCTGCTTCTCTGCATTACTCACAGCCTTCTTGGTTTCTAAACCTACTCACGTTTGTAAATTTTCAAAACCATATCACTCAACTTTAAACCCAAGTTTTCTCAATTTTTACACCCAAAAACTTACACCCATTCACCAACAATTATCCAACACCTACCCCCACCCCCAACTAACCCCATCCCAATCTTTTCCCTCACCTAACACCGCCACCTTTCTCCCACCTACCCCATTTTCGGCGGGTGTGTGCCACTTATGGCGTTTGTTGAGAGAAGGTACGTACCCTCGTAACTATCGAGTCCAGATGGCGTTGTTGTAGCCAAAAGTAAAACACAGCTAGGGATTGCAACAGTCAAGTTTTGAATATTTGGTTTCAAGATTTTGGAAAATCCGGGGTCTTGCTCATAAAAATCTATTATATTTTATAATAATCTTTTATAATCCATTATAATTTATTATACTCCATTCTAATCAAAAATAATGGATTAAACAGTTTTTTCTACTTTTTTTGTTTTTGTTTTGTACCAGGTTAAAAAAGACTAATCTACAAGAGATTTTTTATTTGATAAAAAGAAAAATTGATAAAAAAAATGGGGTAAAAACAAAGATGAAAAAGAATTGTGAAAGTAGTATATTCTCAGTAAAAAATTGTGTTTATCTTCACTATCTTTAAAACAAAAATTCTAATAAATTGTATATTTTCTGACCTTATTTGGATAATTGATGACGATGTTGCCTCAAATTTACGCAGCTCCATTTTAAAATGTGGAATTTTTTTTTTAATTTGGGATTAAGTTTTTGATGTGATTCACCAATATAATCATTTTCAGTTATTTTTTGTCATGCTTTGGTTTTGTTGGCAATATTTTATTAAGTTCTGGAAAGTGCAGGTGTGAATTTTAGCCTTTACGCGTTTGTCTTATAAGGTTATATCAAAACTTCTTGAAAGATTTTATTAGCCAACTTTTTTTAGAGAATCAGGCAAAAACGTAGAGAATAATAGACAATCTATTTTATATCTGATTGCCAATTTGATTGACCAATATAAAAGATAGTCAAAGTTTAAAAAAAAACAATTCAATATGACATTTTGGAAACCACGTAAAATCAGCCGCTGTGTTGGAAAATTCGCTTTTGTTTTCTAATAACTGCTTATACATATAATACGAGAAATAAAATAGAGCATGTGTGTGCCTGTGTGTGATGTGTCTGTCTGTGTATGTCTTTATAAACAAAGTTATGGGATTTCTACTTGTATTTTGAACCTAATTGTTTTTTAAAGCTTAGAATTATTGAACGCATGCATTTTTTTCAATAATTTGATCCGTTTCTTTTTAAGCAAGGCCCCGCTACAATTAAAATTACTGGAAATTTCTGAGAAATAGAATTTGAGATAAATGTTTACTTTAAAGTTTTTAGTTCTTTCCTCGAGTTATTAAATTTTAATCATTTTTGAATTTAGCATAATCTTACTACGATTACTTTTTTTGCTAAAACCGATATATTTGTAATCTCACGCTGTACAAAAAATGGTACATGTATTTTTTGTTCAACGCATTGAAATTGAGAAGAACTTGAGTTTCAACTTGTGAGTATTTCCTTCCTAATCACGCAATCTTTTTACTGTGCAATTTCTTACTCGAACCATATTTTACTCAGTGCAAAACTAAAAATTATATGCATCCTTTATCAGAGAAAAATATGGTTGGAGTAAGAAATTGCACAGTAAAGAAAGATATCGTGACTAGAAAAGACATACTCACAAGTTGAAATTCAATTTCCTCTCAATTTCAATGCTTTGAACAAAAAAATTACATGTACCGTTTTTTGTATAGCGTGAGATTACACATATAGCGGTTTTAGGAAAAAAGTATAAAATCAGTCCTTGTTCATCACGACTTTTTTTTTGTTTTTTCTAAGACTACATGCCAATCAAAAACTAATACTTCTCAATAGTAATTACTTAAGTTTTACTTAAAGTTTTACTTCTAAAGTTTTAATTTCCTGCTACCAAACAAGCCTTTGTCAATCCAGGGCCGGATTAGGAAGGAGACGGTGGTCGACTCCTTCTCCCAGAGGGATTTGACGCCTTAACTATGCAAATGTTCCTTTTAATGATATTTCACGACATACTTTTTGGTCGACCAGCCCTAAAATGTTGCTTTGAAGCCATTAAGTTTAAGTTCCAGGAGTGCAATATTAATATTAAAAGTTTCTAAAAGAGTGTTGAAAAGCGGTTTTTGGCCGTTTTTTTAAAGTTTGCATGCGGCGCAAAAATGTTTGCAAAACAAGTTCTTATAGTATTTCGAGAAAAGTTCGACGAATGGTTCCACAAATCCTCTCCAACTCGCTTTCGAGAAAATCATAGATCTGTTTTTGTGTCAAACTACAACACTCTCCAGTATTCTTGTTTTTTAATTAAAATTTTGATTGTCACTTACAAAGAAATTGAATTTTAAATTATTCAGCATTCAAAATTTT